TTTTATTTGTTAAAATAATATTTTTGGTTTAGGAAGGATGTAACGTACGATACTTTTTTATATACTTGGCGTAATCTTTTCTTTTTTTAAAAAAGAGTTTTGGTAGGATAATCATATATAAATGATTAAAAATATAATATATATAATTATATATGAACAATTTTTCTCATTTCTTAAAACTTGATTTTTTGTAAAAAAAAACAATGCAAAAATTATTCTTTTAATTATTTTTTGTTTTCTTTTTATGATTATCATTTTTTCTTTTTTTGTATCTTTTTCTTGCATCAAACAATAATTTTACAAAAAAAAAGAAACATATGGATATGTATAAACAAATTTTGCATATAATTATGTATAATTATATATAATTATATACTTTTATATATGTTTATATATACACTGTGCAAAAAAATTATGGCATAGAAAAATTTTGAGCAAAAATTGGTCAACTTTGGTTAACGGAAACTCCGCGAAAAATCATCGTAAAATGATGAACTTTTTTTCAAATGAAAGCTTGAAATCTCTACTTTAAGGCACTGCAGGTCGATTTTAAATTTAATGCACCCCTGTTGCTGTAAACTCTTAAATCTGAGAGCATGTTTGTCATACTGAAAATTGCAAAGTTTGAACAAATGCACGGACTTGCTAAAATTTTTCTCGGGGATACGGTTTCCAACGTCATAAAGTTGGAATCTTTCTCTTTAATTTGAAAAAAAAAACAAGTTACGATTTTTTTTCACAAAGTTACAGCATTTTGAAGTAAACCTTGTATTTTTCTCATGTATGATCAACATTACCGATGTGCATTATAGGTAGGTTGACAATCGGATTTTGCACATCGTGTGTGCATGTGTGTATGTTTTACACATATCCGTACGTACACAATGTGCAAAATTTGATCGCCAACCTCATTAAAGTGCACATCGGTTAATGCTGACTATACATGAAAAAATTGCAAAGTTTGACAGAATACACGGACTTGCTAAAATTTGTCTTGGGAATGCGATTTGCAACATCTTAAAGTTTGAACCTTTCTCTTTAATTTGAGAAAAAAAACAAGATGCTGCGATTTTTTTTCACAAAGTTACAGCATTTTGGAGTAACTTTTGTATTTTTCTCATGTATGATCAACATTACCCGATGTGCACTACAGGTAGGTTGACAATCGGATTTTGCACACCGTGTGTATATGTGTGTTACACACATATATATATATATATATATATGTGTGTTTTACACATATCCGCACGCACACAATGTGCAAAATCCGATTGCCAACGTCCCTATAGTGCACATCGGATAATGCCGAATATGCATGAGAAAAATACAAGGGTTACTTCAAAATGCTGTAACTTTGTGAAAAAAAATCGTAGCGACTTGTTTTTTTTTTCAAATAGATCGGAAGAGCACACGTCTGAACT